ACATTTATTGTAGAAATAAGCAAAAGCTCTATGGAACCAAGGTGGTCACGGCACGGGTGAAGCAAATCCCAAAGAGTTGAACTAAAGTCGGCCCCCTATTAGTGAAGAAAGCTCGACCATGTAGATTAAACGAAAATAAATCTAACGAAAAACAATGAGTGATCACTCGTACAAAAAATAGTAATTACGGAGGTATGGCTTCACACACTACTGCCGGAGCAACAGTAGCATGGAAAATCACACCCTCTAGTCATGATCTTACTGCCAACCAACCTATATATACATAACATACCCATATCTATCAATAGCCTATAGGTATGGAGAAAAGTAACTCAAAATTCACAGCCTAAATAATTCGGAAATTTCCAACATAAATCCGGCAGTCAGAGGAGCTGTGTTATTATTCTTATAAATAGCAATCATCCAACACCACATGACGATGCTGGTGCATTCTTCCAGCACCACTTGACGATGCTGGTGCATTCTTCCAGCACCACATGACGATGCTGGTGCATTCTTCCTGCACCACATGACGATGCTGGTGCATTCTTCCTGCACCACATGACGCTGCTGGTGCATTCTTCCAGCACTGCATGACGCTGCTGGTGCATTCTTCCAGCGTCAAATGACGATGCTGGTGCATTCTTCCAGCACGACATGACGCTGCTGGTGCATTCTTCCGGCACCACATGACGATGCTGGTGCATTCTTCCAGCACCACATGACGCTGCTGGTGCATTCTTCCAGCACCACAAGACGATGCTGGCGCATTCTTCCAGCACCAATGCAGGAGCATATGTTCAGTCTTAAAATGCCTAGCAAATTACGGACCAAGCAATAAGTCCAGCAGCTATCTCAATCAAGTATCAGTTATGAAAAGATCGGGTTCCAAAGGCCGGATCCCTTTTGAATCAAGTCACGAAAAGTTCAAGAATCGGCAACAGGCCATGGGCCTATTTCTTAACGGCTACAATTCTATTCTATTCTATTGTGGGTGTCAACGAATATTTAAGAGGAGCTTTTAAGAAAACAATCTACCAAGCGAATTAGCCTGGAAAATTTCTGTTTGCGCGTATTAGAGCGCAAATGAACAGATATGAATGAAGACCACTAACCTTGAAAATTCCAAAATCATTCACGGTGTTGTAAATTCCTGAAGCAACGACAATCCCTAATATCATTCGGTAGAGAAGTCAATTCCGTGTGGATGATGTCGTCGTTGGCGAGAACATGGTTGCCCGTACGGAGTTAATTAACTGGCCAGTGAGGCCTCCCTATAATGAACATTTCAGCAGGGGTAAATTTCTGTTAGATAAATCATCAAAATATAATGAGAGTGCACTGACGAAAAAACCTTCATTCTTTATTGCGATTGACTTATAGTATTCGTCAAGATTAATGGCAACAATCCGCAAATCTAATAGAAAGGACTGGAGATTGGGAAACTTCGGAACACAAGGAAAATTACGAATCATTTCCCAATCCGATTAAACTCACAGTCCAGTGAAGAGTATCATTGCACAGTCCAGAAACAATGACATTGCAGAATCTTGGACAAATTGTCCCGAATGGGCAACCATAGCATACCTACTCACAAGGTGTAAAAGAGCATTTATATAATGAATTATTCTGCAGACCAACTGACGAAAGTGTTGTCGTCCAATTCAATTTTTTATAAATGAAACGAATCCCACTCAATAATAAGTAGGTAAACACATATTTTCTGCGTTAAGGACGTATTTAAATAATTTGAACGCAAGTTACAGAAGGCATGGCAGCTTCATTCATCACGGGCACGATCAGTGATCGATGCACAGGCATTCGACCAACGAGCAAACATGTCAAAGCCCAAATGCACGAAATGGATAAATTTGAAGGCAATCGAATCGCACCTTTTTTTGATCAGGTCCAAAAAATAATCATACTCCCGAAATATACGCAGGCGCAGGCTGCGCTTCTGTCAGAGTAATAATATAATACAATCATAGAAGAGATAGATCTGTTCATTACGGTGGTATGCCTAAGGCTATCACACAAAATGTTACCAGACAAATGATCGGTTAGTAACGAATGTGCGGTGCAACATAAAAGCAAGTTACGTGTTAGCAAAATTAATTTTCTTATAACGACTCGAGTTGTAGAATCCACGATAACTTTGCGATTGCCGTAATAAAAAATTGCCGTACTCTCTAAAATACTCTTGCGTCGAAATATTTAAAAGTTACGAGATGGACTTACATTATCCTCCGGGTGAGAAGTTCATCTGCGACGCAGTAGTTCTGATCAAATTTCGAAGACCATCAGCTTTGAGGGGGCACATAACCGGCCGAGTGATTCACCAAGAAAACATTTCCAGGAAACTTGACAGTCAGGTCGTAGTTTACTCAGCACGGCACTACTAGCGTTACTGCCCACCACACGCTACGAAGTCTCTACTGTGACTGCCGTAATTCGTAAATGCTATTGCGGTGCTGTCGCTGGCTATTTGCCGGAGCTGATCATAAGTGAATGATCCGGAATTCGTACTGAAATGCGACAAAAAAAATAGCAGAATAAAGCGCACTGATTTTTTATGCTACTCAGCTCAATAGCTATCTACTATGCCATTAAAGAGCAGCAGTTTGAATAATCCTTTTTTAAGTGAACCAATTCTTTCAGGGTTAACGACTTTACTTTCGAATAAATACCGAATGCCTCGATAGCGCTCTTCACTTCGCAGCGTGAAGACGCTATCAAGAGAAGTTCTTCGCACTCTGCCACTTCGCAGCGCTCTTCAAACAATACTAGGTGACGACCAGTAATGCCCGATACATTGTGGATACCTGCGCATAACCTGTTACCTCGCGAATCATATTCTGTGCTTGGCCGACGAATCTTTCGTGGACCGAATCGACACTTCTCCGAACCTCACTGTTCGTTTCTGTCCGGCAACCTCTGTCTTGCAAAATTGATTTCTGATACTTACCTCGAAACCGTTAAAATTTTAACGTCGAAGAAAATGTGGTGGTTAACTTATCAACATGAGTTAGATGTCATTCACGAGGTTTGAAAGTCCTTAAAATGTGGTCCCCACTCATGAATCCATTTCAGATTTAATGTCAGTGCGTACTAAACATGCTCTACCGGTAAACGTAATTAGCCTTTAGGTTCGCTCACGATTCGCAGTGATATTATCAACTTCGATAAACTACTACGGAATATAATAACTGAATCCAATTTGTTTAGCTGCAAAAAAATTTCTATCAAATTGGTGCAATCACGTGCCGGTACATCAGCTGTTCGTTCAACGCGCAATTTTTGAAAGCCAGAATTAAAATGTTTACATTTGATTTACTGAGACCTGCCGCAGTGCCGCTTGCAGAAGCTCGGCAAGTGTCGCAGCATCGTTACCTTGCCGCTGAAGTTATTGAGAGCAATTGTATTCATTTTAAAAGACTAAGCGCTTTGCATTTTGATTTTACATTTCTCAATTTATGAATACAATGCGCTTATGTTAGGTCTAGGCTCTGCCGTTCTAACTTCTAAGTTCTAGCCAGTGCCCACTGCCCAGTACCAGTACTCCAGTAGAAGCCTCAAGCCACCACTATCACTCTATCCAGATTCCAGCCAAGACTGCCAATATGGTAGCGCAAAAAGATTGAGTCTGCAAGAATTTGGCTGATACTTCTTTGAAATAGTAAATACTTAACAAAATGAATTTTTTACCCAGATATTTAATGGGCGTATTTGAAACTTGAACCTTATATTTGTTTGTTGTATATTTGTTTTTGTACTTCAACAGTTCAAATGGAGGGTGCAGACTGCAGAGATTGGGTAAAGATTTAAAGAACTTTTACCATAGGCATAAAAATTTATGTCTCTAGAAGATTTTACAGCCTTACAGGCATATATCTTGTAAGATATCTTTTTACAATTTACATTAATTTAAGTCAGGAAATTTTGAAGGTTTAAGCAGTTGTGGTGACAATCCTTAAAAATGCTGAGATTACACTTTGACTTTGAGCCAAACTGAGTTTGGGCCTGTAATGCCAAATGCCTGCAGCCTATCTTGGTAGTTGGTAACACAATTACCAAAGTCTGTGTAGACTGTAGTGGCTCTAAACCAAGATTAGAATTTTTCAACATGATCGTGAATTCCTGATTCCTGAAATATTCAACCTTTTATGGCTCTAAACACTAAAGTAACATTTTCAGTGAATTTGAAATCTTGTAGCTTGATAGCTCACTTCATTTAAGATTCAGATTATTTGAATCAGATAGCTTGATGGAAAACTTGCACAGATGCCTATTACAGCCATTTCAATAGTATTTCAACATTTAGAGCCTTAAATTAGAGGCTATACTGGTAAATGGTAATAGACTATAGAGCCTCACTTGCAAAGTTTGGAGGAATTGGAGCCCACCTTGGCATTTTGGCTGATGGCCTAAAATTTAGTACTGCAACTTCAGAGACTAAATTCCAGTACTTTTACTCAGTTATAGGGATTCTGGTTTTGGTATGACATAATTGTAATTGAAATAATTTCAGTACCGTACTAGTCTACTTGCAGTTGCAGAAGTTTCTCATAATATTATTACTCATATGGTTGCAAATTATCAAAGTCTACAGGCACTACAGCCATTACTACTTACTAGTTCAGGGAAATTGATCAATTGGGCATGGGTAGTTTAAACATGTATATTAAAGGGTCAAACCATACTGACCAAGCATTCTGGATTTCTGGCTAGGTGGCACTATTCTATAGATACTCTAGTTGCAACTTGCATTCTTGCAAGCATGATAGCATCCAATGAAATGCCTTTGCCAATAAATAAATTAATCGAGAAATTCCTATTAGATGTATTAGTAGCTTCCCTTGCAAATTTTTGAAATGCAACTAAATGTTTTTTGAACTTCCCTTGCAAATGTTTATCTAACAATTTAATTCAAGAGCAGTTGGTGTGTGCGTGTGGTATGCTACATTGGTATTTCATTGTCTTGTTAATGGTATAAAATTTAACTAATGCTTCCTTACTGCAGAGACGAAGTCTGGCTCCCAGTCAGCTCCAAAAACGGCCAAATGATGAGTCTCCTAAAATACAACAGGGTAAAAAGATCTCTCAAGAGAGCCCTGGTTGACAACTATGGAGATTTCAAACCAGGGAACCTGCGCGGCTTTGCCCCGTACGGACAGCGCCCCGTCAACGCCGTACTCATCATCAGCTACGAGACCTTCAGGCTGCACGCTCACGTCCTCAATAATTACGACCTCGGACTCATTCTTTGTGATGAGGTTCTGTTGTTGATGCAGGGAATAACTTCAATGCATATAATGCGATGATATGAAAAAATGATGAGCACTTTATTGTTGTGTTAATTTGAAATGTTTATAGCATTTCATGTCAATAGCGAAAAAGTATTTCACTAATTTTGTGTCTTGCAATATCATTTTTATACAAGTCGGGTAAACAATTATTTTTTTAATTTAAAGTGCATCACACATTTATTGAGTGACGAATGTATGGGTAATTAATCACTAAATTGTAACTGCAGGGGCACCGGTTCAAGAATAGTGACAACCTCACCTATCAGGCGCTGATGGCGCTAAAAACCGTCCGCCGAGTACTGCTGTCAGGCACGCCCATACAGAATGACCTACTCGAGTACTTCTCCTTGGTGCACTTTGTCAATGCAGGTACCAGTGTATTTCGGTATCTACTACTACGCTGATATTTACAGGCGTTCCTTAGTTCCAATTGGACAAGAGTTGAGTGCCACGGAAATTTCCCTAAATATTAATACAAATCTAGTATTTTAAATGAAGCTTTGTTACACCTAATATGGCGATTAAACTGTCCATGTTCTGGAACGCAGGTATTTTAGGCACAGCGCAAGAGTTCAGGAAGAGATTCGAGAACCCCATCTTGCGGAGCCGCGATGCTGACGCGTCTGACGCTGAACATCAGCTGGGCAAGGAGCGTCTTGAGGAGCTCACCACCATCGTCAACAGGTGTGCCCTGGGCAGCTCACCACCATCGTCAAAAGGTGCGCCCTGGGCGGCTTCTTACATCAATATTACGGCGGCTTGCTTGTGGAATACCTGGGAGCGAAAAATAAAAACATCTCAATACGATTCTTTAAACTCCAGACGCCCGTAATATTTCTGGTTATAGGTTTGCGATACCAAACGTGATGTTCGGTCCGAAATCTAGAACGCTATTAATTGTGAGCATTGAACAAGTACGTCGTGAATATTCTTATCGTACTGGGTGTGCAAGGTTATTGCTGTGCACTGCTATATATTAAAGATAGATAGCCTGATTTGTTCCTAATTAATTTTTTTCTCATGTTGGCGTCATGCACAGATGTCTGATCTGACGAACCAACGAGCTGCTGTCCAAGTATCTGCCTGTAAAGTACGAGTTTGTCGTGTGTTGCCCTCTCACGCAGATGCAGCAATCGCTATACAACGCATTCGTGCAGTCCACTCACGTCAGGAGACAGTTACAAGGTCAATAAATAGTGATGCATATTTTTTTTGTTCAATGCTGTTATTCTAATAATTGACGAGCATGGGTAATAAAAATCTGAATGTTGCTATCTGAACTAGGTGTACGTTTCACTACAGAAATTTTATTAACATTCAAGGAGTTCAAGGGCCCACAAAACTTATTTCACAACTTTGATTGATAATGCCGGTTATGGACGGAACCTGATCGGGGCGAACAGGCTGGTCATGTTCGACCCTGACTGGAACCCTGCGAACGATGATCAGGCCATGGCGAGGGTGTGGCGTGATGGCCAGACCAAGACCTGCTACATCTACAGGCTCGTGGCCGTCAGTAGTTACACCTCAGTTATGCTTAATTTAAGCCGGTGCTCTGTTAATTTTCTCAGCATGTCTTGTTTTATTTTGTTATTTTACTGTATTTTTGCTGAATCTTTTTCTGTATTCTGTTGCTGTCTCTATTCCAAGCGTAAATAATTAAGTAAATAGGAGAAGTGAGAAAATATGCTGCTTATATTAAATAAACCAAACAATTTTCCGACCCAAAGTTGTATAGTGCTTGCATAAAAGGCAGCAACTAAACTAAAATATTTATAATTATCTAATTACTATGGAGAAGGATGTGAACTTAGAAAAACTGAAAAGTAATAAAAGTAAAAAATTTTATCAGACTGGGAGCATTGAGGAGAAAATCCTGCCGCGGCATGCACACAAGAAGGCGCTGAGCTCCTGCGTAGTGGACTGCGAAGAGGACGTCCACCGACACTTCAGCGTCGCCCAACTGCGGGAGTTGTTCACGCTGCGCCCCGACACTGCCAGCGACACGCACGATAAGTGAGACTAGTTCTTGTGGTGACACGCGCAAGTGAGACTAGTTCTTGTGGTGACACGCACAAGTGAGACTAGTTCTTGTGGTGACACGCACAAGTGAGACTAGTTTTTGTGCTGACACGCACAATGACACGCACAAGTGAGACTAGTTCTTGTGATGACACGCACAAGTGAGACTAGTTCTTGTGGTGACACGCGCAAGTGAGACTAGTTCTTGTGGTGACACGCACAAGTGAGACTAATTCTTGTGGTGACACGCACAAGTGAGACTAGTTCTTGTGGTGGCACGCACAAGTCACAAGTGAGACTAATTCATGTGCTGAAACGCACAAGTGAGACTAATTCTTGTGGTGGCACGTGGAAGTGAGACTATTTCATGTGTAGCTTTTGTAATTTTATTGCTTTGAGATATCATGACGTCTGAATAAAATCGGTAGTAGGCCCTATTTAACCAGCCAGGGTGCAAGAAGAAGAGTACGTATCAGAAACTATATGTCCGTAAACAACGCGTGACGAAGAAGAGTGCGAATTGAAAGTAAAACGAAAAGTTTGATTATTAAGATCAATTGATTGCTTAAATCGCATGTTTATCAAGAATTTGAAAAAAAATATAATTAAAAATTCACAATTTCTTAAGAATGTAAACATTTTGGAGTCAAGTTCCATCGTCAGTTCAAAACCTAAAATAAAAGTACAAACGATTAGCAAACTAAATACACATTGACGATCTTAGAAAAAAATTCGCCAAATGAAAACAAATAAGAGAGAAGTGAATATAAGCAGACAAATCAATTTCAAGGGGAGATGAACTGTAGGCGGCATTTAAACTAGGCTTTTGTTTAAATAATATACGTTTAAAAATTAATTTTTAAAGACAACACTTCTAAAGAATCCAGTGCTTCCAATGTTACAGATGTACAATGAATTTCTAATTTTACTTTCGAATTTTAAAAAAAATTAATTTTTAAATTTTTTTGATATAAAAATTTTTTTTCGAAATTATTTATTCTGTCAATTGATTCATGCATTGCCTCCAACTTCACACAAGTGTGCAAAATTTCATATCAATTAGACAGGTAAAAGTGTTTTAAATATCAATTATAAGATTTGTGGCTGACAAAATTATTTTTTCAGTTTTTTTAATATTGAAAAAAAAATTTGTAATTCATAAAATTATTTATTTTGTCATTTGATTCATGCATTGTCTCCAACTTTACGAAAGTGTGCAAAATTTCAGATCGATAGGGTAAGTAGAAGTGTATTAAATTTCGATTACAAGATTTGTAGCAGACAGACAGACAAACAAGAAGTGAAGTTAAAGAGAAGTGTTGTAAAATATACAGGGACTCTAAAAATCGCAGATCAAAGACACCGGTTGTGGAGGCTAAAATTCGATAGATATGTCATGAAAAATGTAGTAATTAGGAAGCTCCAGTCATTGCCACATTAAATTGCCGAATGATCTCTTTCAAGCTCCATCACCTTTTCAGTAGAGCAATTCGTGGAATTTATACAACACCGTTCCGTTAACGATATTTTTTCATTTTTACCAATTAAAAGAGGATAAACGGATAAATTTGCGGAAAGATTTTGTAAAATAATTAAAGACAATATATGTTTTCATGTGGATATTGACAATTTTGACGGAGCTCCCAATCATTTTGAGATGAATTGCAGCAGAATAGAATATTATTTCATGCAATAAAATAAGTGTGTGCAACTTGTATTGATTAGAAAGTTATATTAATGATTTTTGGACTTCTTCATTCCGACAAGTCGCGCCTGAGGCGCTAGCCTCTAATCACGGTGCACTACTATACCAAAGAAATTTTCAAGACAAGTTACTCTTAACGGATCTTGATTATTATTTTCCTAATTTAAATTAAGTAACTTGATAATATTTTGCAACAAGATTCTCGTGCCAGCAACCCGTGCCCAGCAGCAAAAGTGTGCGTGTGGTATACTCTTCAGACCGCGCTGCAACACTATACTACTTGGTTAAGATACGGCGCAGCACCAACGAAGGTATTAGCGCCCTCACCACTATGCCCCGTTGCCGTCCCGCCGTCACGCCATGTCGATATGCAAATTTTCAATCTCTAGCACAGGAAAAGGGTAATACAATCAAAGTTGGAAAACCATCAGTTTAAATCACTCGAATTTCTTATTTAGCAGAAATGTTGATCTGATGCTCATTTCCGTTGAGTAGTAAGACTGTCCTAAAAGACCGTTCCTTATGTGAAAGCTTCGCGGCCGTATTGTTGACAGAAACCGTACTACAGCTAGCGGTCGCCACGCATACCCGCGGTTGCCTTTCTCAGCAGCTCTGTCTTTATAGCTGTTGTCTCAACTTTGATAAAGATGTCAAATGTCGAATCGTTCTATTTATAACGACCGTTCTTCGGAATAGCGGCTCTGCCTTCACTTACGATTATGCCTCGTCCGAACTCGCTTGTCGTAAATTTGCTGATGATGTTCGTGACCGTACCGCTACTGATGACCGTGACCGTACTGCTACTGATGACTATTGATGATGACCGTAACCGTACCGCTACTGATGATGACCGTGACCGTACCGCTACTGATGATGACCGTGACCGTACTGCTACTGATGATGACCATGGCCCTGTCTCTTATACACATCTAGATGTGTATAAGAGACAGAGTGAGACTAGTTCTTGTGCTGACACGCACAAGTGAGACTAGTTTTTGTGCTGANTTCTACTGAATAGGCGTGAACTGCGTACTCATTTTTACAGAAATTTGAAAGCCGACAATATTCACAACAAATTGCTTTGTGTGTCATAAAATTAAATAATGAAAGCATTAATTTAAATAATAATTGACATGGCACATTTTTACACATTATTATCACATTATTTTTTTGCACACATCTATTAATGAATGATACCCGTCAGTCATTGAACAAATTTTTACGATAATCAAAGAAACCTGTTCGACAGTCCGTGAATGCGACTGCAATTTGTAAGTAGCAATTTTTGTATGTCTTTATTGCTAAATTCTTGACGGTATTTGTACAGCGCACAGTACATGCCGTGTCAATGTGGTACGGCGATGCCACTTGTATCAGTTGTTTACAGTAGACATACGTGAAAGCAAGGGCATCCCTCAGCATCGGTGTAGAGGCAACGATCACCGGCTGAGATAACAACACAGAAGACGATTGAGGTAGAGGAGGATAGGGAGGCAGGGAGGGGCATGGGTGAGCCCAATGGGGTTGAGGGGAAGAGAAAAATTCCTCAATTCTCTAGTTTTTTTACCCGTTCATTCCTCCCCTTCTGTTATGGGGAAAAAACACGATCAGTTGTGTAACACGGTCAATCCAAAGTAAGAAGAGATTATTTTTTGGAAATCATTCAAGAAGTGAGTTTTTCATTCAATAATAATAACGGAGCTATGATGAGTTTTGAGCTATGATGAACTAAATCATTTTGATGATTTTTTTTCTTCCTATTGGCTTTTTACGAGCTAATAATTTTGGAGTGTTGAAGACGCAATTAAATGGCCGCATCACACTCGCATAAAAATGCTAGCTGGATTTTTGAGAAATTTTTCATATAAGTGCCACTATTTTATATTTCGGCACACAACGGCATTGAACAAATAAACCTAGCTCGGCACACAACGCAAAAAGTGTTCTCAGGTTTAGCATGGATTACCGATAATTCAAGTTCGTATTTATGCAAGAATCCCAACAAGGAGGGTATCAATTAATTTATCATCATTAATATGTATCAAAACTATTTTTGTTAGAAGATTTTTAATAGTTAATGAAAGACTAACAATACATGTTTCAATACTATGTGAATATTGTTAAACTGGTCGTAAATGAGCGTCATGCGTTAGGATGATTATTTATACAATTATTATCTTTTGTGAAATAATTCCAGTTGGAAAATTATTATTTGGGTTTGCATTATTCTCTTTTGCCTTTCATTTCAAGAGAGCGAATGTGTGAGTGCGTGTGTACCTGTAAATGCGTTAGAGGGGGTAGTTAAAAAGTCCCTAACCGCTGCCTCCTCCCTTCGTACCCCCGCTTCCCCACTGTTGAGTTCCTCTAAACCAACCCTCCTGGCCGCATGGGGAGATTGTGGTGAGGTGCAAAGCTTGGAAGCTGGCGGAAAATATTCAGTTACTCAGTGGTCTATATTTCTAGCTGTCGTCAATTCCTGTGAAAAGTTATATAAGAAACAAAATAACCTGTAACAGTACAGGGAAAGCGAAAAGGGGAAAAGGAGCCTCAAGCCTTTCAAAACCTGTACCAATTCATTCAGGAACTCGAAAATTATCTACGTAACTTTGAGGCGATGAAAGTTACACATATGACAATATAAGACCTGCATGCCGTAAGCTTTATGTTACGCGCATATATTATCTGGCGCAATTTATTCGTTCACCAATCAATCGCTTTCCCTTCCCTCCCCATGAGTTCCTTGCCACCGTAACTGTGCTGCCAGACCCCATGTCTTGCTGCCGAGAAAAATTTACACCGAGTTTGGCTGGTACGCTCGGAGAAGACTTCGCCTGTCTTTGATGCAGGCTCTTAATTAAGGCTCAAACCGAAAGGCTATTCAAGGAAAAAGCAAGTTCATCAATTTTGTACTTTTTTTTTTGTTAGTCATTGCATCAGATTTTTACGGTTACATATTATGTATAGGTAAACGTAAAAAAGCGTTGCTCATCCATTTTATACCGATTATCATACTTCAGAAGAAGCCAGATCTAGCGGTAGATATAACTAAACGTACCCATTCATCTCACACTCTATTAGGTTTTTGAAGTAAACAATATAACTTAACGTTTTGGACCTGACAAAACGCATAACAAAGTACTTTATCGTTGACACGCTATGTAAAGCATTTGGTAAAATTGTTCCAATTCTAGCTGAGGAAATGTAAACGATTTTTGCCCGGCCGGCCCTTTAATTGACGTCATTTTTTCGAAAATCTTTGAATGAAAGGATCTCGCCGGCTGACTGGAAAGAAGCTCAAGTAACACCATTGTTCAAAAAATATAACTCTGTACTCACTGCAGTGAGTGACAGAGAGCGCATTTTCTCGTCGACGAAAACTTGAGGTCACGGACAG